GGGGGGGGGGGGGGGGGGGGGGGATTGCGGGAAGTGGCGTTCGATCGAAACGCGGAGCGTTGTAGAACGCATTTAAATAATTGCTTTTCGTTTTCGCTCCTCTCACCCTCTGGGCCGTGTCGAGCCGAGGGTTCGCGGCCTGATAGGAATGCGCGCCCACGCATTCCCGTGCGCGCAACGGAAACAGGTTTCGCGTTCGCAGTGACGGTTCGCGTACGTACGTACGTACGTACGTACGTACGATTGCGCGAATAAGCGCGGAACGGAAAATTCGTTATTGGAAATCAAAGCGTGTAGGTGAAATTATTTACGATATTATCCGCCGACGCCTCCCCCTCCTCCGCCGTGCGATATCGCGTTGTCGACGACGCGTCGATGCAAAACGGAGCTTTCATTTCGGAATAACGACGGATTTATTTTCTCGCGCGTAGATCCCAATGGACGTCGCGACGGGCGTTTTTCTTGAAGCGCCGGGCGGTACGCTCGAGTAATATTTTATGGTGATAGTGAAAAATGCTTCCGGGGTAACGGCGTCGGGAGCAACTGGAAGCCCGCTTAAAGGCCGCTCATCTCCTGCCGAGAGAGAGAAAGAGAGGGGGGGGGGGGGGGAGGAGAGAAAGAAAGGAAGAGAGTTTTATCGGGATTATTTCCCTTTTTTTCTCCTTTATGACGAGCTAAGATTATCTGTCTTTCACGAGGCAGCGGCGCATCCTCGAACGTTTTATGAAATTTGCCCGTCGGGTCTCGCGCCCGCGTTAGAGAAATTACAAGTTTGATGGCACGAATAAAAACCGAAGGGTTGATCAACCCTCTTCAGATCGCCAGCTGAAGTTTCCTCGAGGGTCCCGTTGACTTTCCTCCAGTCGTATGCAGTAAAAAATAAAATGTAGATTTTAATATTTTTCTACATATTCTAAAAAGTCCACTCTGAGTTTTGTGTAAAAATAACTCATTCGTGGTATATTATTTATTGATGAATTACGAATGTTTATAAACACTAATAACGCACTAATTTTTTTTACATTCATGTTTGTTATTTTGACTTTAAACACAATTGTAAAAATAATATAAAGAATAGTTAAAAAAAGAGACACGGAAAAATAATGAAAATAAATCGTAAAAAATGTCGATGGGACATATTTGTTCATATAATATAAACGCGTTACAACTTTTCATATTATAGTAATATATGATATTAATTATTTTAATATATTCGTGATAGAAATATTTTTTTTTATAAATTTGATTATTCTATAATGTTCTATAATTTTATATGCTAGTTTATAATGATTTGAAGACTTGATTTTTAGTTCTTGTTAATATTAAAGCAATATTAAAGAATGTTATTTTTTTAAATAATTGTATTAAAAAAATTTTAAATAATGTTTCATTCTTAAGTGATATAAAAACGTTAAGTTATTAAGTTGATATTATTATAAAATATTAAAATATCACGAACACGATAATATATTGATATATGTTAATTTTATATTGAAATAACAGTAAAAAATGGGTAACACATGAAAACTTTAACATT